CTTTACCAAAAAATTAAATATATATCAAATTTCAGATATAAATCTATCATATAATAGAAAACGAACGAATCGTTGGTACATGTTGGTACAACCAAAACAAAACCTGCGCTTAATGACCCTTTACATCTCAAAACCGATCCAAACCGATCCTGATTCCCAACATTTTCTCGTTGTTTAACATAGCAATCATCAATTCTTCAATCATCAACTATCATATTCGCGATAGTTCATTTCCCATATATAACAACGTTTAATTAGTTTTCGAAAAGTTAGTTTTGACCTGTCTCTGTCTTTTACGCAATTTTAATGGATGTCCGCTTTTTGACTCAACGGGTTCTCTGGCATGTTACTTAACCAAGAAACAACAGATAGTTCATGAACGTTATCCTAAGTTTTGAAATTATCGATATCTTATTCTCTTTCTTGCTGAAACATGCGACGCTTATGTCTCCCGTTTCCACAATATATATCTTTTAGTCAGTGCCTTGCTAGAACATAATTCTGAAAGCTAGGTATCGAAATTCGTCAGTGTGTAATTTACATTTCTGATACATATTGTTCTAATCAATCTGGTAAAATAATTTATATACTAGGTAGAGACCCGTGCTTTGCACGGGGTGAAATTAATATTATGTCAAGACTGAACAAAAAAATCCAAATCTAAAGAACCTAACCAAATCCGATCCAAAAAGGTAGTGCCGAGAATCCAAACCAAAATCCGTTAAATATCAGAATGAGTTCATAATTTTGGAATCTAGAAAACTGGAACCAAATCTGATTAGAGCCAAAATATTTGAGATATCCGTAAGAGACTTATATACTTGAATATTATTGTTTTTTTAGATTTAATATCCAAAAATGATAAGATATTTTAAAATTGTCGAAGATATTTGAATATATTAAAAATAGTAAAAAATAAATATATAAAATAGCTAAACAATAATCAGAATACCCAAAAATATTTGACATACATTACTCAAATTTATATGTGATATATTATTTTATTTTTAGATTCTGAGAATATAAAAGTATATATGAATTTAAATTTAAAAATAATATAAACAGATTATCCAAACCCAAAACGAAACTGAACCAAAATTTATAAATACCTGAATAAAGTTAAAATCTTTAAATCCAAAAATTCAAAACCCGAATAGATCCAAAACAAATCCAAATTCCCACTCCTAATTATGCTAACAAAAAAAACATAATTTTCTTAAAATATAGTTTATAATAAATGAGATTCTTATTCAATGGAAGATATAACCATAATAATATTTTTATGGAACAAAGCTTGTACCGTATTTTACGTTAGGAGTATTAAATTTTTGAATACAACATGTGTATCCATCTATGGCCAAATTCCATAGATCAAGCACATGATTTCCTCCTAACTGATAGATTAAAGCCTATAGATTTTAAGATTTGTATGAACATTAAATGTAATTTTAGTCAAAGAAAAGAAAGCATTGAATGTAGTCTTTTTCCATCGCCATTTTGAAGTATTCATAGGATGTGTTCTAATATAATGCAAAACATCATATTATAATCTAAACGATATGCTGGTTAAGATACATAATGTTATATATGACATAGTAATTAAAGATTTTGTAAGAGTGTTGTGCTAAAGATCGCGGAAAAGTTTGGTTTGTCAGAAAAGAGAAATTTCAAAATTTTCTTTAAAAAATGAATTGAAAATTTTTATAAGAATATAGAACATAAAATATACAAAATGATTTGATAGTGATTGGCGTCATATGTAAAAATAAAAACAATTATTCTATGTTGTGTCTCTTAGATATTTTGAATTTGATATGATGTTTTAGAATACTTGCTCGACGTATGATGTTGTATAGGACTCGATGTCAATGATAGAAAACAATTATATGTTCTATGTAGGCTACGGTGAATATGAGTTTTGAAAATATTCTTATAATAACTAAATTAACTAATAGTATTTCACAATTTTGTTTATGGTTCTAAGAACGATGTTGATGAATATAATTAAAAAATGTTGAAAAAACTGTGTATTTATAACTATAATGCATATAAGGGAAATCATGCTTATAATCAGATGTGGAATATCACATAGTAAATATGGTAAAACTATACAAAATAAGCATCATCAAATTATTTATCATAGTAGTCCAATGGCATCTTAAGTAAATAATCTAGTTATAAAAGGGTAAAAATTAAAAGAGGTTGAGAATGATTCTCATGATGACACATATACAAAATGGCATACATGAAAATAATTTAGCATTGTAAGGTTATTCATTTATTTTACTTCTTCTTTAATAATAAGGGGATCCTATTGAGTTTATAAAACCAATTTTGGAAAGTCATTGTCTAAGAGCATCTCCAACCCAAGACCTCATTTTAAGGGAAACAAAACCTCAAAATGAGGATTTGAGGATTGATTGCTCCAACAATAAAATCTCAAAAAATCCTTAAAAGTTTATATTATTTGCATTATAGTCCTTGATATTAATAAAAACTATGAATAATGACAATATTTCACAAATACATATAAAATCTACAATTAATATATTAGAAAACACATAATATTAAAATATTATATGATAAAATAATATAAATTACATATATAATAAAATGACATACACCCAGAATTTCTTTAGAAAGTTACATATAATATACCACTTGTAAGATATGCAATACTTAAATGGTTCTATAATTTGCTTTAATTTATGTTAAGTTTGTTTATTTTTTTTATTTTTATGAGTTATATTTAATGTATGTTTATATTTGTGTAGATTTACTTTTAATTTTATGTATTATTTATTCTGTGTTATTTTATTTTGGTATATTTAAGTTATCTAAATAAAGTTAATAGATGTATTTGTAAAAGAAAATAATTGTAAGGACTAAAAAGAAAATGAATAGTAGTTTTGAGGTTTTGAACACTGAAACCTCAAATTTGAAGTGTCACTATTCAAAACCTCAAAATTTAAGGATTTGAGGTTCGGTTGGAATGACAAAAACCTCAAAATTTGAGGATTTGAAGTTGTGTTGGAGATGCTCTAAGGGTTTTATATCCCCTATATATTAATTGAGAAACATTTAAAAAGTTGTAACATCAAGTTTGCATTAATTAAAAAAAAAAACTACATCCTACGTGGCATCTCTCTATGTTCTCTATTTCAATTTAGAAGGATTTTAGAGCACCTCCTATAAAGCGTAGTTTTAAATCAAGTTTCGTTGGTCTCATATAAGACATATTAAAGTAAATAACATATCAAACTAAATCTCCTATATATTATTTCTTTAAATAAAACTTACGGAATTACCTGATGTGATTAAGATATATATGATTATTAATTATTTTAAATAATGAAGATTTGTTAACAATATATATACTTTATATCATTTTTTGTTTATTTCTTATATTAAAATAAATTACACAACAAAACTAATCATATAACAAAAATTTAAATTTTTTATATATGTTGTATTTTGAAATTTTCCAAACGAGTATAAATTACTAAAACTGTTAAAAATCTCACATAAACTTTTGTGATCAATGTCTAATTTTTTTATAATAAGTTACAATGATTATAAAATCATATGAATAAATAGTTTTATTTTAATAGGTGTTTATGTTAATAGGTGCTTATGTTAATATATATATATCTCATATCGTATGAATAAATTATTTTATTTTAAACAATTATAATTTTAAATTTAACTTCATTTTTATAATTTTTTTTATTTAAAACAATTTTACAAAATATAATTTTTAATATTATTAGACAAATAAATAAATTATATTAAATTAGTTTTGAAAACTGAGGTAAGACTAAACATATCGGAACAGAACAATTTTAGTGGAGTGTCTGCCTCTAAATAGAAATATTATACCAACTGCTTCTTAAGTAAGCATTAGGGAACTTGATAATGCTCTACCAATTAAGTCATGTGACACTTCGTTTATTTTCTATCACCCGAACACTGAAAAATGAAAAGATATATCAACCGAACCCAGTAAATTTTAAGTTTTGATCTACAATTCTAATTACAATTGTTTCTGATCCTACGTATAAATAATTATATAAAAAATCCAAATTCCAAATACATATAAAAAAAATCATATGTAAATTTAAAGTTTTTCAATACTAAAATTTTATATTTTAATTACAGACATTCACTATGCACAATGCGCAGGTTTTATCATAGAAGACATTATGAGCTGATCTCTTACAGAGAAAATTGAAAAGATTAAATTATCAATTTTTCTATTAATAAATATGCAAATGCAAAGTTCTCTATTAGTTTGTATAGTCCCGTTTAGTATAAGCCGTTGTTAATTATAAATAGCTTCTGGCTATATAATAGAGAAGAGAAGTATATGGTTAGGTTGCATGGAAACTTCGTTCAAGGTCCGTTTCCTGTTTCGGAAACGTTTCGGAATTCCGTTTCCTGTTTCGGAAACGTTTCGGAATCGGAATCGGAATATCTTGGAAATTCGATGAAACTTTTTGGAAACACGTTTCTTGAAAATTTCACTTTAGAAATACGATGGAAACTTGTGTTTCTGATTTGGAAACTCGCGATTCTAATTTAGAAACTCGTGATTCTAATTAGAAACGCAAAAATAACTATTTGACATTTGATGTTAGTGATTAGATGTTTATTATTTTATATTTTAATATCATCTTTTGATATTTGTTATCATTTTAGTATAATGATACGATCAGGAATGAAATCGCTCCACAATTTTGTTGAATGATAACATGTATTATTTTCTAGTTATTAACTATAATTTAATAAAACATAAACGATTCTATATTTCATGCAACCTAGGTATCTGGTATGGAACATAACCAGTATAATTAACACCGATTTGTACTAAACCCGAACAACACAAATTTAATATTCTTGATGGATAAGCTAAACTGGGCTTTTGGGCCCATCAATAATTTTGTTTCTTTTTTTGACTTTTTAAGTTACCGACTTCGTGATCGTAGTTGAGATCCAACACACGAGAAGGCATCATCTCTCTCTCTCTCTTACTGTCGGCCTAAAACCTTGTCTTTAGGGTTTATCACTTCAATGGAGAAACAGAATCAACAAACAGTATGCGGCCAAGAGGCTCTCCTTCTTCTCAATTGCGTAACTGAGTCTCCTTTCGATCAAGAGAAATGTCTCCGCTTCTTGCAATCTCTCAGAGAATGCGTTCTCTCTAAGGTTCTGATCTTTACCCCCTCTCGTTACTGATCTCGACGAATATTACTTAAACTCTTCGTAACAGTTTTGATGCTGAATCTTAATGAGGAATTAATGGATTATTTGATCTCTCTCTCTCTTATAGAAAACTTCGAGAAAAATTAACAAATTTTTTTCTTCTGTGAATTAATGATGTAAATGTGAAGTTAATAAGGGAATTAGATATATATATGTTATGTTTTTCAGCTATGTTATTGTGGTGAGTGATTATCATAGACACTATGTTTGAGCTTTTTATTCACTTACTCTCGAACGCAAAGATGATCCTAAAAATAGTTATCTTTAGTAAGCTATTGGAGAAAAAATGATGAAGCTCATGATTGTTTTTTTTTTAAACAGTTTTTCTGAAGTCCTTAGTGGTAACTGGCGACTTTTGATTCCAAGCTAACCAAATATTTTTGTTGTTGGTTTGATGTATGGTATTAATGTCACAGAAAGTTAACAAGTTCGTGATACCGAGTCAGGAACATGCTAATGAGGGAGCAGCTGGCTCAGCTACCAAGAGACCTTCATAACCTTCTTTTTAAGTTGTAATCTCATATGATTGTTTTATCTTGTAAGGCCTCAACCTCAGGGAATTAGAGGTTTTACACATTTTGTTACTGTGTATGCTGAAAACTTTGAGGAGCTAAAGAGATACTTAATTTTACTGTTTGTTTCTCTGTAAACGACTTTTTTGATTGCTCGTAAAGAAACACAGCCAAATAAGTTCAGACAATACTCTACCATATAAACAAACTTCTTGCTTATCTCTTGTTAATTGTTTATACAGAACCATAAGCTGCTTCCCTTACAACTTTTTGAGAGGCTAGTTCCACTTACAACACAAAACATTCATCTCCTAACTCCGAGCCTAAAACAACATCAGAGACTCATAGTCCTACTTATATCTAATCGTCAAAAGTACTGGTAACTTAGAAAAATTGAAACTTTGAAGTTTCTCACCACTATTGTAAGCAGGTTCTTTGATCACAGTTTGAAGGATACCTTCTCTTGGTTCTGTGAGTTACTCTGTCCTCCTCCACTGCTCTCTCTTTGGTTTTCTTCATCGTCACTACTGACCTCAATCACCCCTGGACATAGAATTAAGCCACAGAACATGTTAACTTAGTCTAATAAATCTAACGCACACCACTAATGAGAAACATCAAAACACATCACAGAAAAAAAAACACACTTGAAGTACCTAAATCCGCACCGAATTCATCAGGAGAGTTCAAGTATTCAACATCCTTTTCAATCATCTCTACCATCTTCTGCAATTCACCGTACTTCTTCTCCCAATGTTTAACCTCTTCCTTACCCACCACAGCCTCTTTCTTCTCCACAACCTCGTGCTTCTTCTCCAGAACCTCCAGCGTTTCTATCAACTTTTCATGCTCTTTCAACAAATCCTCTTACTTCTCTTTCAAGATCTCGTGTTCAGCGAACGAGACACTCTCACGAACAGCTACTTGCTCAGACATTGTGATGGCTAACTACAACAACAAAGAAATCAGGAAAGTATACTTGTTAACATTTCTAAAATTAGAAACCCTAAAAACCCTAATCGTACTCAACACTAGAAAACAACTAACAATGTCAGCACAAAGAAGCTCTACCAATTTGAAGAAAAATATACAAACTGGAAGCTTGTGACAAAAAAAAGAAAAAAAAAACAAACTGGGAACAAAAGAAACAGAGAAAATCTAACTCGGAAAGATAATGTGTCTATCACTTACCTGAAGACAGCGGCTAAGAAGGAACCAAACCAAAGATTATCGGGTTCTTGAGCGGCGGAGACGTCACACAAAGAGTAAAAGTACCCTAAATAAAATAGTGAGCGGGAATGCGAAATGTGTGTTCTGCAGAAGATAATGCTGCTATTAACTCCATTTTTGTTAAATTATTACACAAAGTCAAATCAGTCTTGTCCCATCTAATCATCATTATGACTCTCAAGCCCAAGGACAAGCAGGCCAGGCCCATTAGATACAGTAATTCTGGCCTTTTTGTTCATCAAGTAATTGTGACTCGCCGGTATCAGTTTTGCATTGTTTCGATTCTTTCCATGTTATTTTACCATCTTCTCTTTCAACTATAAATAAGTTTATTTGTGAGTTGACAAAACGAGGTTTATTTGTGTAATTAGTAATTTACTAATTAGGTGATCTTACTCACACGTTGGAATTTGAATATGAACTATCGTATTATATGAGTACATACACTAAAGGTATTTTTTTTTCTTTTACACTAATGTATCTATTGTTAATTAGTTTTAAATTAGTTTTGCGGTTTGTAAAGCATCTGAAGAAAACTTTCTCTCTCCTCTCTCTAGGGAATTGAAAGAGCGATTAGGGTTTTTCCCCCCCTGCGCACCGGCGGCCGTGGCCTCTCGCCACCGCTGAGCACTCTCAGCCTCCCCTCTTCTTTGCTCACTCAAATTCTCTGTCATGGGTAAGGCCAAGAAAAAGAAAAAACATGGATCTCGTTTCTCTGCGCCTTCATCTCGCATCCCCCATCTCCTCTCCGGTGGTCCTCCGTTGAAGCCTTCCAAGTAGACATTTCACGGCGATTGCAGCTCCTATGGACCTTCATCTCCTTCGTCTGTTCCGTCTGCGAGCTTCGACTCTGCTCCGTCTGCGAGCTTCGACTCTGCTCCGTTGGGAACAAAGTCCGCTTTGGTTTCTGTCGCGGCTGATTCCAAATCCTTGGACTTCTCTTTGATAAACCCTCCTCCTGTCCAATCAGTTAGTGTTGTGGAAGGTCCATCCTCCAACACTGTCTCCTCCTCCTGTCTGGTTTCTCCGGTGGAGGCTCTCTCAAACCAGAGCTTAATCACGGAGGTTCATCCTCCTGTGCATCCCGCAGCTTCTCCCCGTAAACTCACAAACATAATTAAAGAGTCAGGACAATTGAAGGAGCTTGGTACTCCCACCACTCATGTTTCAGGGGCTCCTTTTGTGCTCATTCCGGATGATAATATTGAGGAGGCAAAACTTGAGTTTAAAGAATTCATCTTTGCTCGTTTTCGTGGTGACATTCCCACAAAATAGCGTATCATTGGTGTTGTGAATGCTATTTGGGCACGCACTGGACCACGGATCTTTGTTCATAAAGTTAGTGAAGGATGTTTCATTCTTAAAGTCACCAATGAAAGAACTAGAGATATTCTTCTGAGCCGGCATGCGTGGATGATTACGGGGAGCCCTATGTTTGTAGCTCCATGGTCCTCCGATTTCTCTCACGATGAGCCTCAAATGACCACTGCAGTTGTGCCAGTTGAGCTGTGAGGCGTTCCTTATCTACTCTTTAATAAACAAAGCTTGAGTAGACTATCAACTGCTATTGGTAAACATGTCTCGTTAGCCCCTGAAACAGAGCGGAAGGAGAATTTTGAGGTTGCTAAGCTGTGGGTACAAGTAAATCTTCTTGGTGATCTTCCAAGTAGAATAGTCACCGGTTTCTCTAATGGCCGCGAGGTGGATATTTCGGTTTCATACCCTTGGCTACCATCAAAGTGCTCTCAATGTGACAAGTATGGACACAATGTCGATAGCTGTCCACGTTCGATGGCACTCGTTAAAACTCATGAAAAAAGGGACCAAAACGCTCCAACTCGTTCGCCTCGTCGCTCGAGAAGCAGGGAGTCAAAGTCTAAGCGGCGTGCTGGTAGGGAGCAAATCCATCGAAAGGAGAACTACTGCTATGTTCCGAAGTCTTCTGAGGTCCAGGGAAAATCTCAAACATCTGTAGAAGTAGCAGCAACGGTAACTGAATCTCTGGTGCTCGAACCAGCTGCTGAATCTGTGGAGCGGACAGCTATGACTTCTTCCCTTCCTTTGGTTGGTGAGGTCCAAACTAACACTGATGGCGAGGATATTCATATAGCTGATGCCAGCTCAGAATATCCTAATTCTATGGATCCTGCTACTCACTTGGAACAAGATGCTTCTACAGCTTCTCCGCTTGTTATTTCTCTTGACCGTCAATTGGGTTATGCTGATGCGGTTATTGTCTACCATGAAGAGAATGGGTCATCTCAGGCTCATCCTCAGGAGAAGGAGTCAGACTCCAAGAACCCATTTCTTCTTGTCTCAAACAGGAAGAGTAGCCGCAAGGCTACAAGAAACTAATCCAATATTTTATAATGTTTTTTGCGTGGAACGTAAGAGGACTTAATAGCGAGAGACGCCACACATCGGTCAAACAGTGGATTACTACCCACAGACCTCTTTTTGGTGCTTGTTTAGAAACACATATACAACCAATAAACCCAAGACGAATTTCTAGTGCTCTTCCAGTGGGTTGGAAGTTTTTTGAGAACTCAGGACATCACGGGACTGCAAGAATTGTTGTGGTTTGGCATCCCTCGGTCATCATGACGGTCTATCATTCTTCAGATCAAGCTGTTACTTGTGGATTCTCTGTTCTAGCTGAGAGTATCAATATTACTGTCACTTTTGTCTACGCTTACAACATAATGGAGGAAAGGAGTGCACTCTGGGAAGATCTTGCTATGCTTAATGCTTCTACCCCTGTTTCAAGGTTCCCTTGGGCGGTAATTGGTGATTTTAATCAAATCATGAGATCGGACCAGCACTCAAACTACCCCGTGATAGATGTGGATGCAGCTGGTATTGACGATTTCACACTTGCTATTCAAGAGGCAGAACTCTTTGAATCCCAAACTAAAGGTCTGCCTTTCTCTTGGTGTAATAATCAAGATGACAACCCGGTCTCAAAGAGGATTGATCATCTTCTTGTGAATCAGCATTGGGCACAGTCTTTTTCGGATGCATTTGGAGAATTTTTGGAACCTGGACAATCTGATCACGCTCCTTGTTTGGTGTCTATGCCGTCTCTGCGTCGCAGGGTAGTCAAACCCTTCAAGTTCTTTGATCATATTATTGATCATCCCAGTTACCTGGAATCTGTTAGGCATGCTTGGGACTGCTTAAGCATTCAGAGTATTATCAGTTTAAATTGCAGAGATCTCTCAAATTGCTGAAGAGGGTGCTTCGCGGGTTAAATCGTTCTCATTTCAGTGGTATTACGCAGCGAGTTAAAGACCAAGCTTCTAAAGTTACATCCCTTCAACGTCAGCTTCTAACCAACCCAGATACTACTACTGCTCGCCTTGAGCATGAGGAAAGGAGGAAATGGCTGATGCTTCTTAAAGCTGAAGAAAAATTCTATAGACAAAAATCTCGTGTGAAATGGCATGATTTGGGGGACAGAGACACCGCATTTTATCATACGACAGTGGTGCAATGAAACGCCAGTAACCACATCTACTTTCTGAGGGACGCAGATGATAGATTCATTGGCTCTGTTGAGGAGATCAAGTCCCATTCTGCAGATTATTTTGAGAACATTTTAGGACGTACTGATATGTCTGAATCTCCTTGCTCTGTCACTGACCTCCAAAATCTGTTAACATTCAGATGCTCGGAGGTACATGGCACTATGCTCTCTCGGCCTGTGACTACTGAAGAGATCACAAAGACTGTCTTCGCTATGCCTCTAAGCAAAAGCCCTGGCCCAGACGGTTACTCGGTTGAGTTTTTCAAGTCTTCTTGGACCATAGTTGGCAATGATGTAATAGCTGCAGTGAGTGAATTCTTCACTAATGGTAGGCTTTTAAAAGATATAAACAACACTGCTATTTCCTTGATCCCTAAGGTACCAGAGGCTTGTAAGCTTGGAGATTTCCGCCCGATAAGTTGCTGTAAT